AGAGGGTTGAGGAGGAATGATTAGACAAAATGAAAGAACGTTCTTCGAATATTAACGTATGAAAGATATTGTCCATTCGTATACGAGATAATATTCGCTGTCGCGTATCCTAGAACGTGGTTTGCTACGTTTAAAATTTGTAATATTTGAAATAAATCACAGGTGAGGAAGACAGACACTCCTCGTTGGAGTTGAACGTGCATGGACCGACGGTAAGGGGTTGGCAAAGTTCGAGAAGATGTATATATCCCCAAGAACTAATTCTGCGGCTCCATGGTCCGACGAAGCTTACGAGAATACAAGTGTTAGCTCATCAGTATCTAATTCGTGAGTTATCGTCGTTAGAAACAATCTTTGTTACGTTCTTTTGTCCATTTTTCTTCTGTTTTTTTTTTTTTTTGAATCTTGAAAATTCAATGTCACGACGTTATGGGAAACTGCGAAGTTTCCCTGAAAAGCAATTCGGTTACAATGAAAATGAAATTAGCGCAGCAACCCCGATTTCCCGAGGCTACGGTCGTTTTGCTCTCCTCGTTTCAACCCTCGTTTCTTATTCTACTCCACGGCTGAATGCCGTGAAACACTTTACTTTTCATTGTTTATGGATTCGTTCTTTTCTTCTCCCCGGGGGAGGGCCAGCACGTTAACGAGTCTGTCACGTTAATAATCTCTATGAGAGAAAAAAAAACGTCCTTACAGCGGAAAAACTGGAGATCTGGACGTCGAGGGAAGAGAATGCCTCTGTGACGACTGAATTCAGCTATTTGGGTTACATCACGTTGTCCGACAATGCCTCGACCATGTACAAAAGCAGAGAGTTGAAAAGTGTCGCCCTTCCGGAAACAGAGGCGGTCTCGCTCAAGCTCAGACTTCACAAACCGCACAGTAACGCGCACAATGTTTATCAACAGGTACAATCAACAATGCTCCTAGATCGGGTAATCATCGATTGCAATTGTTTCTGGAATTTTAGGTCGGCCTTATCGCTATTAATATCCTCGGTGAACCTTACGGTCAGTCGCTCACTGGCCAAGGTGATGCACCGTACAATCCCCATTACACTTCCCCGTACGATGATTTAGCCTTTGAAATGTACGTGGATCGAGAGGTGGCTAAGATCATAAGGCAGATGGAGGCGAAAAAATTGCAGGCAGTCGAAGGTGATTATTCGTATAGAAATAAAAATCCTGTGCAAAATTTCCAATGGAATTCAATTTTCAGAGGAAAGATTCGAGTACGCTTCGAAGCTAAAGGTAGCAATGGAGAACTTGAGGAAAGCTGGAGAACGTCTTGGAAAATACGAATTGGAGAAGAAGTACGCTATAGCGTTAGAGGACTACGATAAGGCGAAAGCGAAAAAAGCTCAAGCGCAACAATATAGACAGCAGGTTTATCAGAGTTTAGAGGTGCAAGATCTACTAGAACTTCACGGGGTGAATATACTTTTCTAGGAACGATTACAAATTGAAAATTCGCCTGTTTAATCGTCGTGTATTCCTGCGAACAGCCGTTGGAGAAGAATAACGTGTCGTCAACGGAGGGCAAGGAACCCATATCGATAGATACCTGTAGCTCGACTGCGGCTGCAGTTCCCGAGGACATCACGTCTCCTCCGAGATTAGTAATTCCGCCGAATCGTGATGGAGCTATATCACCGACTGGTCCCGCGCATCAACCACCTGTTTCGCCGCTTCATCAGAAACCAAACAGCCCTGGTATCATAATTTCCATAGAGATAGGCAAACTTTCACAGTAAACTCGCGTGTAACTGTCTTTTAATTTAACAGAAGTTACCGATAGTCCTACGAACGGGGTCGTGGAGAGACAGAACAACTGCAACAAAGGATCTCTCAGGAGAAAAACCAAATCTGCAGGACCCGCGCTTCGTTCAAGCTACGAAGCTTACGAGGAGAGAACGATTCCTGCTTTGAGACAGTAAGAGACGATAGGGA